GAGTAATTGTTTTACTTGTCAAAAATTTGTATATAAATTATCTTGCATGATTGATAGGCATTTCTATGGGCATTGCATACTTAATTCATTCATGTGGTATGCATTATGGATAGCTTGATAAACATGTCCTATACATATATTTCTTTATTCATATATATTGCATTATACATAGGACATATTGTGCAGGATGATGTCACTATTTTTGTAGTATGTACCGTACTATTGTTTGTTATTGTAATACGATTATATATTTATGCTTATTATCAGGGATAGACTAAAGGGTGCGGGTGGGGAAGTCGTCATTTGAAAATTTAAAGTTGTCATAATATTGTTTTTTATTGTAATACGATCATGTATAACCGCTTGTTGGATAATAAAATGTTATTTAGTTTAGGAAATTCTACTTGTAGAGATTAGCGGATGTATGCGTAGATATGGCTTATTAGTCTATCATGCACTTCATATCATGTTATCTTCCCATTTTAAATTTGGCCTTGTTTCTTAATGTGAGACTCAATATATTTCGGAGCCTCTCATATTTAGTTTATTTCTACTTTTAAGTAATGTATTATGTTTACAGTTTGTAGTTTTGTAATTATTTTATCATACTATTTTAATGCGTTACTTATGGAAAATAATTATTTTTAACTTTGTAACATCCTGAATTGGTCGTAATGTCTAGGTCTGATTTAAGGCGTTACAAATATTTGTTTACGAAATTGTATTCTCATGTTTGGTTTGTCATTATTTATTATGTATGTGTTTGATTCAAGTATTAATTTTTGTATTTCATTGTATTTATTTTTTAAAGAATTTTCATAAAATATATTATATTATATCTTTTTTGTTTTTCATTAATTCTATTAAATATTTTGTAATGATTTTTGCTAGTAATACTCATACATGTTGTTTGAATAAATTATGGAAAAAATGTAGAAATAAATACATACTTACATCGTTGAGTGTATGTAAATCTCTCATAATATTAATGCATATTTATTTTTTTTAAATTGATAAATGGTAGAAAAATATATTAAATCATTTGTATAAAAATTTATAAAAAGCATAAATTTGAATAAGCGGTAGAAAAATATATTAAATTATTTGTATAAAAATTTATAAAAATATTTGTATAAAAATTTATAAAAAATATTTGTATAAAATTTAGAAAAATATATTCCACAACGCTGAAAAATATACACCTGCCACGATACACCACGATACATGAATTCTCCTATAATTATATATTAATTATAATACAAGAGCTTGGCAAATGTTATTTCTTATGTTGTATGGCTTGAGGCGTTGTTGAATGACATGAGGGTAGAGTTGCAAGCTACACTGGTTGTATGGAGTGACAACTCGAGTGCAATATAGCAATGAGTGCTAATTCGGTTTATTATTGGAAAACCAAACATGTTGAGATCTTTACTTTGTGAGAGAAAAGGTTGCAGCAGACAGGCTTAAGGTTAACTATGTTCCCTCTGAGCATGGTGTTGACCAAATAATATTTTGCTATGTTTCGCCGAAAGCTTGGGGTGTTCTCTTTATCCTGTTTTTCATCAATGCATAAGCCTTGAAGAGATACAATTAGTTTCAAACTTCAACAGTAGCAATGAGAGTGGCTCACCGTCATCGAGTCAAGGCTGTTGTAGCTCATTGTCACCATGTTTGTCTTATTTTTACTTCAAGTGTATCTCTTCAACTGCCCATAACAGAACCCATTGTTCAATGGTTGCCGCAATGGAAGATGGATGGGTGACCGGAGATGACCAACGGCAGAAGTAAAGGGGTAAGAATTAGAGATTTTCAGAATTTTGGGGTTTTTCTCAAAATTTCAAAAAAAAGGTTTTTTAAATAATAATATTATTAAGTTTTTTTAAAAATGAAAAAATTAAAAATTTTTAAACGCGACATATGTCATGATGACTAACATGTTGCTAGTTTTACTAGGCTATGGTAATTTACCAAGTATGATGATCAAATTCATACTTTAGAACTCTCGTCTTTGATATGTTTTAGTCCTGATGGTAATGTTTAATGATTGCTTGATAGCAGGAATAGAGTCATGATGGAATTATGAGAGGACAAGTTGTTTAATTTTAAAATAAATAGAATCTCTAAAATTGAACAAACCATAAAAATTAAAGAAATTATGATTTAATTTCACTAATTTTAAAATTGAAGGAGCTTAAAGAGTAATGAAACCAAAAAAATTAGAAGTCGAAATTTCACTTTAAAACTAAAATTGTCCTAAAATATAATTAAACCAGTAAATTTAGGGGGGACGGTGACTTAATTGTAATAATTTCAAAAATATTAATGACCTAAAACCAATTAAACCATCAAAGTGAGGGGGCAATCGTTCCTCCCACCTCCCATGTAGATCCGTCCCCACTTGATAGTTTGATTATCTAATTTAATATTTGTTTATACCATGATTAAATTCCAAATAATTAATACATACTATCATGCATTAAATACCGAGATCATGGAGAATTTTGGCATTGAACCAAAATTTAAGCACTGGCAAGAACAGAGGAAGAGTTGAAGTACATCATCTATAACACGAAGAAATCATCAGCAAGCTTCGAGTTTTGAATGCATAACCTATTAGTGATTAGTTCCCACTGGCAATGGCAACCAAACAAGTATCAGAAGATTAAATGCTTTGAGAAGCATCACAAAGAGGTAATTCAACTTATGCTTAAATAGTTTTTTTTTTTTTTTGAAATAACTTATGCTTAAATAGTTGAACAACAACAACATGCAAAAGAATCAGTTTTGGTTGTGCATCATAAGAATTCATTTAGATTATAGGGTAAACTATCCTAATTGTCACTGAACTTTGGTTTAAATTTAAAACGCTCTAATTTTATCACTTAACTTTAGTTTTTTTTTTATAACGTAAGACCTCCTAAGGCTAGGTTAAAAAACCCGATCCTACAAGGCAACCTCCGGAGGGGCTCAAAGAACCCACCACTCTGTTCCCCCGCTTTTTTCCAGGATTCCCAGCCAACGCGGTTCGAACCTAGGACATGAGACCAGCTCATAATATACTAGAAATTTAGTTTTGGTTTCAATGTAAATATACTAGAAACTAAAGTTCAGAGTCTAGAGGTAAAGCGTTTTAAAATGTAATGGCCAAATTGAAACACAACCTAAATATAACGGGAAAGACAATGACTACCATACAAACCATAAAGTTTTAGTGACATTGGAGTAGTTTAATGGTTTGTATGGTTTGTATAGTTTGTATGGTAGTCATTGTCTTTCCCGTTAACAAACACCTTTGTTATGCCCTTCATGCCAGTCAAGGAAGAAACTGTATCTCTAGCCTCTGTATATATAAATAAAACAAATTAATTGTTGTTTTTGGAGTTTGAACTCACTAGCGTGGAACTGGAGCTTCTTATCGAACCTTTTATCCAATTTAGTCTGGTATTCCAAAAATAAAATCACCTACTAAAATATATTATTTAATTATAAAAATAAATTATTTTAAATATAAAAAAATATTGATATATTCCATTCAGATCGAGGTTATAATCTAAAAATCAAAATGGGAAGAAACTTAAAAATTATCGAGACACGACATAATCAGATATTAATAAAACATTTTCGAATCGAGGTTGAGATGGTCAATAACCCGGAACATGCCTCAATAGAATTTAATTACGATGATGCAATGATTTTTTCAAATAAAATAACCTTTAAATCAAATGGGAGCCTCCATAGGAGCCTATCATATCTAACGGCTAATATTCAACCAACGGCTATCATATGTAACGGGATCTTTTGCTGCTTCGTTGTTTTTGAATTTTTCTTCCCGGTATGTTGCATTTATTAATGTCACGGTGTCCCTTTTTCTTCACCGCCTTTCCTTTCTTTCTTGTCTTCGAGGAACAATTTCAAGTCCAAAAAAACCCTCCTTTGCCTTGCCTTAATCCATCTCTTCCTACCCCAAATCAAATCTCTTTCCAAAATTATACCCAAAAAGCCTTCCCACTTTCTCTCTACTTCAACTCTTCCCATTTCCAGTGGATCGATTACGTCGTCACCATCTTCTTCTCTCTTTAGGGTTTTGTTTCTTTTCTTTCGGGAGTGTTGTTTTCCTTCAACGAACGGGGGATCTTTTGCTGCTTCGTTATTTTTTTCTCGGTATGGACTATGAAGTCTGTGATAGTAGTGGTATGTTGCATTCATTAATGTGCTATTATTCTATTGAACAATGCCTGGTGTTTCTGGGTTTCTTTTTCTTCACCCCCTTTCTTTCTTTCATTTTTTGATTCGAATTGGAATATTGGGTAATGGGTGTATTTTGTTTTTTGGGTTGGGTAAAATGAGGAAGAAGGGTTTAGGGTTTAACTGGGGTCATTGGCTATTTGTTTAATTTTATCAGGGAAATGATTTCTTGCGCTTTTCCTTTCTGGGTTTTATTTGTTTCCATCTTTTAGGTTTTATTTCCAAGCGTTTCTTTGAATTGTAATCGTGATTCAGAGAGAGAGAGAGAAATCCATGATATTAAAACATTAAATTTTTTCTCTGTTTGAAAGAAAAAGTTCATTTTCTTTCTCTCTTTCATTGTTCAATTACTTTTCCATAATACGCTAGATATTTAGTTGGTTGATACAATGATTTTTTCCATAATACGCTAGATATTATGTTGTTATATATATATATATATATCATGTTATATTCTTTTGTGTGTTGCCCATGATCTTCGTCATTTTTTTTGTCTCTTGTTGTTCTTTATTTTTGTTTTCAGGAACTGGTCTTTCTAAAAAGGATTGTGATGAGTTACGGGAAAGATGCTTTTCACTTCTTTTAGAGCCGCTACAGGTAATTCTATGTCGGTGAGAAAATAATTGCTATGTCCCTGCTGGTGACATGAGGTCTGGGTTTTTTTTTGGATTCGTTGAGGTAGCTACACTAATCAATTTTTGACTTTTGAATTTGTCTATCCTCTTTTAATTAGTCAAATAATTCTATAATTGTGATACAGGGGTTCTATTGAAATATCGTGGAAGAACCGATTCAGTTTTTTTAAACACATCACAAGGTAATGTCAGGTCTATTGATCTATAATCTGCATCTTCTTCTTCCTCCTTTTTTTTCATTCTGGTTTTCTCCACCATGCAGCTGTATGTGTTTTTGTTTTATAGTTCTTAACATCCTAAGTTGAGAAAAACAACATGGTCTAGTTTGTTTTAGGTTGATCAGTATTTATTTATACATGTTAGCAGATGATAAGTTGTCCATTTCGACAAAGCAACTCATTGAAATGCTGGTTTACGGAGTTTACTCTTTTGGTTGACAGAGATTATTGTTCCTCTTCCTATAATATGTCTTCAGCTCTTTGAAAATGATAATTGGCTTAGCTCTTTGTCTGCTTTGTGCTACGCGTGCTTTGGCACTTGTCCCTATTTACCTAGTTAAATAGGAGCTTCAGTAGTCTAATGTCAAATTTCTGATCTATATACCTTTTTTCGATTACATCCACCTTTCATTCAATATGAATCTTGTCTTTTGGGGTATCTGGAGTTGTTAAAATCATTGTCGCTGACTATTTGGTTGATCTACTTTAAAAATAAATTTGGGTTTGAAGGGGCCTATTTGTTGCTAGTTATAATATGTATTTGTGTATGTTTCATCATTGCCATGCATTGTATTATTTGATCCTGAAACCTATTTACTTAAATGCAGGACAAGTACAAAGTATATAATCTTTGCTCTGAGAGGCTGTATGATGCTTCATTGTTTGAAGGAAAGGTATGTTGTGGTTTGTTGGGGTTACTCACTATATGTTTACTTCCACCCGGGCTTTTTTTTTGGTTAGTTGTTGCTGTGTGCCATGTGCCTATCATAGAACTTTGATAAAAGATCTTCTTCGAGGTCTCTTAAGCAAATAACCATACCATGTTATATTGCCGTTTGAAAATATTTTTTGATTTCCATTTGGTTGGATCTGTGGAGCAAATCAGAAAAATCAGCCACTAATTTCTTCTTAAACTATTTGGCAATTGAATCCATTAGGAGTTGATGGGCAAGAGTGTTTCACTCAATGATGAAAATCAATTATTGGCAGAAGATAATTCTTAAGAAAAGTCAGTACCACCTAATCTTTGACAAATCTTTATGACCATATCTTTTCCTACTCGTTAATGCATAACAACAAATGCAGCCTGTTAGAACTTATTGTGAGATGACCTATGTGAAATGAAATTATACATCTTATAGTTGATATCCATCTTTTTCTTCAGGTGGCTAGTTTCTCATTTGATGACCATAATTACCCCCCCCAAATTCGATTGATCATATCATTTTGTCAAAGTGCTTACTCCTGGCTGACGGAGGATATTGAGAATGTTGTGGTTGTGCACCGTAAAAGGACAGGGTTGATGATCTCCAGCCTTCTATACTTGAAGGTTCGACCCAATGAACATGTTCTTGAAGAAATACGAGTGAATTTAATATAGCTACACAGTTCTTGGTCACAATGGTTGGTTTTTTTCTTTAACTTGTTATCTCTTTGTAGTTCTTACCCACTGCTGACGAGAATGGACTACTACAACTAGAAAAGACATGTGGATGGGAACGAGCTTGTTTTGCCAAATCAAATTGTGAGCAATTGATTTCTAGTGATTTTTCAGGTTGGTTTTTGGGAGCTGCTTATATCATATCTGATTGTCATATATTTTGGTTTATGATCTCTTGAGATACGTCAAGTACTTTGAAAGCACCTTAACATGCATCGATGGTGAAGATCAGCCTGGGCACATGTAGTCTTCTGGCAAGATGGCCTGTGATAGTGGGAACCATGGTTTTCTATTTTTTATAAGTTTTTTTTTAATTTTTTATTCTAATGCCTATTTATAATCATACCCTGGATTGATAGAAGTTGTGAGAATACCTACCATTTAGTCACTTTTAGAGTATATGTGCTTATTTTTTGTTTCATTATGCTGTCAACAAGGCTAGTAACATGGGAGTAATAATTATCTTGGATAAAATTCTATTTTGTAGAAGTATTCAGTATCTTGGACAAAATATTTGTTCATTAGTTTTCCCAGGCGATGATGTATTAAGATCTGTCGAATCAGCATCTGCTGATGTTAACGGGATTATTAAAGTGGGTTAAACTCTATATCAGTCTATTAGATATGCCTCTTGGAATGGAAATATATAAGATTTTTTTTTGGAAATATATGGTTTATGCATCAGCTGTTGCTCCAGTTTGAAGTTCAAATCCTTCTTATTTATTATCATACCTCTGGCTCTCTTTTATTTTTCTTTTTTGATTGGAGTAGCAAAAAGATTGTTTTTACCTTTTTTTAACCTGAGAAATTTACTAATGTTTCAAAATTCAAAACTTATGTATATATGTAAAATCTAGGTAAAATTTTCAGAGAAGGTTCTTCTACATCTTATAGTAGTCATTGGAGCATGTTTATCATGTGTGGATGTCATATTGCTTACGAAGAAAAAGATTCATAGGGATTTTCTCTTACACCATGAGTAGCTTTTAAAATTTTTCACATTTCATGGTCCGCGTAAGCTTTTCTACGTTTAAGTCATTGGTTTTTTGCTTAGAACTTTAAGCATTTTTCTTTCTTTTATGAAATTTGTTCTGGTATCTTAACATTGTTTGTTTGTTTCTAAAATATTTAGGCAACGATCGTGTTCTCATTGAGGTGTATTTGTTTTCAACACATATTATGTGGTACAGTTCTCTGTATATGGTGGATTATAAAACTATGTTGGAATCCCTCATTTGCAAAAGAGATTATCTTCAATGGAGGTACTTTGTTTTTCTGTTTAGAAATATCTTCCAATTTATCAAGTGCTTCTATATAATTTATTGGGTTGTTGATCTTGCTCATCTTTAAGTATTTAATGGTGTGTTAAACATTCCAATTCATGTGCCAAGCATGCTTATGTTTTGTTTATGTTTGCTCTGTGGACACCCTATGATAAGATAGTATGCCATCTTGACCTGGTAAAAAGAGGATAGTTTAAAGAAGAAGACATTATGGATGCTTTTATGGTACAATGCCTTATCCATCTAAATAGTTGGACGAAAGATACAACATATTATTGAATATTGGCTAAAAGAAACAATTATTTCTTTCTAATATTTGATATGCCAAAACCATTTTAGATAATTAAAATATACTTGTGCATGTCTGTACAAGTGTTAATGGATATGAATTGTGTAGATGCTCGTTTTGTCCGAGCTTATAGCAGATTAGACAATTCGAATCGAGCCCAACATGATATTTAACCCAACCCGTGCTTAGTTGGATTAGGCCACTAAGACGGGCAGTTTTGAGCAGGAAAAGAGAGGGAACGGTTTGTAGAGAGTGGGGGGGTATTTTGAGTTATCAAAAAACTATAAATGGAGGGGGATGGTCAGTTTTTTTGAGGACCACTCATCAATTTGGGGAATTTAACCGAGAGGACAAGGAGAGTTGGAGGACACAGATCAAAAACAGAGGAGAAAACCAGTAGCCATCACCAGAAAAACCGGAGACATTTTAAATAAAAAAAAGAAAGAAAAAAAAACTAAAAAAAATAGAGAAAAAGAGGAGACCCTACTGTTTTATGAAAGCATCATCAACCAAAGAACGAACCACCGAGGAAAGCAAAAAAAAACTTACCCTTCTGATCCATAAGCTCTCGTCGCCTTTGCTAGGAACAAACATCCCATCTAGAAGAAGGTAAACCCTCTTTCGTTATTTTCCCGTTATGCATGTGTGCTCTAAACCTCAGGTTCTAGGGATTTATTGAGGGGTTTTTCTAATTTAGGAAAGTTAGGGTTTCGATTTTTAGGGATTTTGAGTCGGGTAATAGTTTGGCTCGTCATCAGAGACCATGAATGGCGAGACAGTGGCTATTCATGGTTTGATTTCGTATGGGTTTTCTGTTTGGAAGATTAGGTCTAAGGTTTTTTTTTTCGGTAAGAGGAGAAAGATTTGAGGCTAGGGGTTGTGATCGAGTCTTGTGGGTTCTTCATCGTAGCTTACTTGTGTCGGAGGGGTGGCCATGGCCGCTGTTCGTGTTGAGGGAGAGAAGTAGAAGAAGAAGGTAGAGGGGAAATGGGTATAGAGAACGGCAGGGTCTGGTTGGTGAGGTTGAGAGTGAGAATGAATCAGGTTTAAGTTTTACCCTAAATATCCCGTATAATCATATGTCAAAACGGCGTCGTTCCAGAGGGTCAAAACGGCAGCGTGTTGTTGTCTGGGGGGGAGATGAACTGCGTTTTAGAAGTTGGGGTAATATCTATATAGGTCCTCGCAGCTTTGAACTGTATCGTCTTGATCCCTAAATCGAGCTTTGCTAGTATATTAATGTTGTCTCTTAATTTTATCCGTGTTTCATTTCAGTCCAGTGTTGTGTTGGGGCTATTTTCTTACTGTTTTTACATTTGATATGTAATTTTGGGAACTTGCATTTTGGTCCCGTGTAACACTTGGGTTATATTAGGTTTGAGGTGCCTATAAATGAAATTTTTATGGAAAAGGCCTGTTGTTTATTTTCTTTACACTTTGGACCTATGGCATGTTCGTTTAGATTGTTAGATTTACATTTTTGCATTCTTATATTTATTTTATTTTTATTTTGGTCCTTCATGGTAATTTTGAATATAAAATCGAATTATTAATAGTATGTTTTATTGTATAATTCTAATGTATGTCAATGTCGTTGTATGTATGTATGTACCATATCACCATACTTTATTTTAGGCTTAAGTCCATTATATTTATGTTTGTTTTTCTTTAAGTCTTTGTTTTAATTCTGAATTAGTATGTTTAATTTTATGTGTATTTGAATTTAGTCATTATATTTATGTATATATATATACTTTTTTAATTTATAGTTTAGCATGCTATGATTTTGTTTTTATATTTTAGGTCACATGTGTACATAATATGTTAATATGCATGGTTTATGATTTTTTAGTTAAAATATGTGTATATGATTTTTTTTTGTATGTCACGTTGTATGATATTTTTAATTTTGTTTAATCAATTTTGACATGACATTTTTTTACACGATTCGCATGGTAACCTCATTTGCATAACTCGACCTATTACATAATCGGACTAAGGGTAATACACTTTTAATTTAAAATTGTATTAAGTGGGCAGTCATAACTGATTTGAGGTCCGCTTTTAATGATTTTAAAATAAAAGTGTATCCCGAAAGTGAAACAAAAAAATTTGATTCATCACCTAAAATTTGGGAATGAAAGAAAAAGAAATGTTTGTATATTTAAATATATCGAGAAAAGGTTGTTATATCTTTAAGATCTGGTCTCGATATTTGTAAATAATCGAACATTCTTTATCTTTCTAAAATGACTTGGTAATTTTAATTTAATTCGTTTGAGTGTTCTTGAATGTTTTAAATTTATATTTTTGTTTTATGGGATCAAAAATCAAATTAAGTTCGAATTTGTAAAGTTCATTGCAAAAACGTTAATTAATTGATTAGGTACCGATTTAGGGCGTTGTGGGGGTGCTAATCCTTCCCCACACGTAACCGACTCCCGAACTCGGATTTTGGTTATGCAGACCTCAATTTGTTGTTTTAATTAAAATTAATTTTTATTTAAAATGACAAAGCATTTTTGGGTGCCCAATCACACCCTAATCAAAGATTGGTGGCGACTCTTTGAACCGTATTTTTCGATCATAAAGGAAATCCAAAAATTTTCGAAACGAGAGGTCTTTTAAATCATATTTGTTTTTAAATTAAAAAGAGATAATTAAGAATTAATGTGGTTTTTTAAAATCTCACTTTTTCACATTTAAGAAAAAAATCGTTTCGACAAATTGTGCATATATTATTGGAAAGCAATATTTAAGCCATTTAGTTTTAGTTTCTAGGTTGCAGTTTAAAAATTGTCTGAACTTAGTAGTCAATGATATTGTGAAAACAATCTTTAAGTAAAGCCTTTTCTTATTCCATATCAAATCATCTTTTTGTATGTGGAATGCATCTTGCAATTACATAATGCTGATCTGTCTCAGTAGTTTGATCCATTCTTATTTTTCTTCTTAAAAAAGAAAGAAAGAAGATGCAACTACTAGCTATAAGGCTTTGTCTTGTTCCTTTTGAGGTAATATTATAACTTTCTTATGTTGCTCTTTGCGTACTTCATGAATAGAACTGATCACTTAACATAGGCATTAACAATTTTAGGAACTTGATAATGAATTTTCAGCGAACCAATTCTAATTAATTATTTATCCTTTTTAGCAGGTTTTTGGGTGTCCTAAAAGAAAGCTCTATTTTATTTTTGGATATGATGTTCTGTATATCCATTAACTATACCCGAATAAAACAAGCATCTATGAACAACAGGTATGATTTCAAGTATTTAGGTTGTTCCACAGGTTACATTTTAGTGTTTTCTATGATGTATATTATGTTTAGATTATTAAATTACTTGGATATGTTGGTTGATATGTTGTCATTTTGTCTTTCCAACTAAAAGAAGCTAAAACAAAGAAAAAGGCTTCTTCTTTTCTTTTTTTTGATAAGAAGTGGAAGCCTCGTACAATTCTTGGGGTTTTACCAATTATGCTAGCTTGTGCTTGGACCTTTTTTTTATCATGATTGGATCCATAACTAAGTAAGATAAAACTTCTAGGACTAGTTAAATATTTGTAATTGAAAACTTTCTTGACATGCTTTTTCAATCACAGCTAACCTAGAAAAGAATGGAAGAGAGATGGTATGTAAAAAGATAAATACAATTAAAACCTATTATTGAGGATTTGTGAGGAGGATATATGAAGTGTGAAAATGTTATTATGCTTCATGTGGGAAACTGTTTATTTTAATTACAACTTATATAAGGATGTTAAAAAGGATCATGATGTGCAGTATATCTGATAAAGACTTGGCTCAGTCACTTTATCACGGATATTCATGCATTAGTTTATTCATCCTTTTTTCCTCAGATTACATGTCAGTGACTCAACATGTTAATTACATTTTTGTATAGCTTTCAATCTCCCATTAGTAATTCTTAGTTTATGTTTTGTAACTTGTTTAATAATAATCAAATTGAAAATGTTTCTCGTCATTGCATGGATGTTAATTACATCTTCTTCTTTTCAGATTAGATGTTTGTGACTCAACATGTTAATTACATATTTGCATATCTTTTATTCTCCCATTGTAATTAGTAATTCTTAGCTTATCTTTGTAACTTGTATAATGGTAATCAAATTGAAAAGGTTTCTCGTCATTGCATGGATCCAATCTCTATGACTTTGGATCTCTTATAAAGTTCTTTATTCATTTTTTGCATGAAAAATAGGTATGTAGGCCAACACTTTTTTTTTCCACGGAGCAGTTTGCCAAATGTTCTTGTTCATTAGATTTCCCATCTTCCATAATCAACATTTTGAGAAAGGTTTGATAGAAGTTTTCATACCAAAGCCTTATATCTTTGGTCTTATGTTATTGAGACTTATTAGCTAAACATTTTTCATGTTGAACTTATAGCACATTGGAAGATTCACATCTTTATGTTGAGATGGACATTGAGGAACGCCATCACACAGGCACTGTAAGAGATTCTTTCATCTCAACTTTTCTTGTGCATGCCTCCAGCCTACTTAATGTTTATATGATTTGTATTTTTATAGAAATAATTTAAAAAACTGTGCTCTTAGCTATATTATTCCATCCTATAGCAATTTATTTTAGGAAACTTAGTGGATATGGTAAATGCAAAATTATTTTACACTAGTTTGATATTCATGCTGCGCCTCTCTACCATTAGCCATCTGTTGGAAGTATGACTGTTCAAAAATTGCTAGGTAGCACCAAGAATGCATCTGAATATAATTAGGATACTTGGGGATTATTATGTACTCTGAACGTCTTATCTTTTCCATTTGGTGAATTAAGATTTTCTTGAGTTCCACAGAAACTAATTTAAGTCTGAACTCTGACGTTTTCATGGAATCCAATTTTATGGTATTAGTTTTCATTTTTTTTAAAAAGGCGCATTACTTTTGATGAAATGCATACTTAGCCTATATTCTGAAAATAATAATTCTCTTCTTTGCGTGATGATTGCATGTGCAGTTGTACAGAGATCCTAATAATTGATGTATCTCCACCTTATACTGGAATGCTCGTCTTAAAATTGCCTAGTTTGAATAACGTGTATCTATTTGACACACCTGCTTCAACAAGGTCTCATTAGCAGCTGTCCATATTATAGCCATCCAGAAACTTCCATGCCAAATCGTTTTTTTTTTATTTTTTGTATTTCAGTACAAAATGTGTCTTGTTTTCCCTTCTTTATTTTCTATATTAAATAAACTGTTACTATTATTTTTCATGTTTGCTCGGTTGTCTAAGAGAAGCATGCAGGGTTATGGGATCATATGATGTTCAAATAAATCACTTCCATAATGAATTCTGGTTTGCTAAAGCAGATTAACTTTGATCATAAGAATTAAGTTGCTGGCAAGACCAGCAAAATAATTCTTGCTGAAATGCATCATTATTTAGAGCAATCTTCTATGCTTATGGATGGCCATATCTTCGTCTAGGTTTATTAAAGTATTCTTACTCTTTAAGACTGCTTGAGATGACATCTGGATGTTCTTTATGCTTCATTGAGAAAAAATCAAAACAAGAAAGTACAAGCTTGTTTGTTGAATATATCTTTGTGTTTTCTAATGCATTAAAACATTTTGAGAAATTGAGGTGTACCTGTTTATTGGGAATTCTGGTGTTCACCTTGCAGAAAAGTAAAAAAATCCTTGACTGAAGTTTTCAAGTTGCTATATATGAATTTAAGTTTTTACTACTACAAATACAATTTTGATTTTTGTGGTGCAGGTTTTTAATGATTTCATTGGTTTTGCTGGACGACTCTTTCTGGATAAGCTAATTCGGTTTCTTCAACAAGGTTTTCATATCTCTAAATCTAATTCTTCTTGAAAAGATAGCAGTGGCCACCACATCTCTAGTTTTGTTGTAGCAATCTTTTCATTGTATAATATCTCTCCATGCTTCAGAATGAATTTTTGCTTTTTCTGCATTTGACTTGGTAAGATTCATAGTTTTGTGCTGTTAACTTAAAGCTTCAATGAGTTGGGTTATGTTATTGTTTTGGTCTTTTGTTGGTTCATGCTTCTGTCCCATATGAGTTGATAAAGAGAGTTCAACAAAATGTTTCTTAGTATACTAGAACTATAGGTTCGTACCAGTTTCTAAAGGAAGAACTGGTGTTTCTGATCACCTCTCAAGAAAAAGCATCCTTGTCATTAGCAGGATTTGATTGGGCCTAGTGGAGGGAAGGGTAACGGAAGGGAAAGAGGGAAAATGATACTTTATTGTTAATTTATTTCGACTATATACAAAGTTAGACTATATACCAACATTATGAAAGTTAATGTGGTGCTCATTATGGAAAGTTCACTGCAAACCATTAATGGGTTCTTAACCTGCTACAAAGGTATGTTATTCAGATTTCTAATAAAATCCATGATTTAAGAATATGCTCTTTTGTCTGTTAGCCTTTTTTTCATTATTTTTCTAACTGAAATCACAGTCCATGGGGAATCTTTGCTGCTGCTTCTGATAATTTCACCTCAAAAGCAGGAGAAGCTTCCTCAGGGGACCAAAATGATAATGGAACAAGTTTAGGGGATGCACTACTTAAATGTGTCAAGGATGCCACATTTTCATCTATCAAAGATCTTCAAATATTTTCTGGTGGTGCTGATATCAAGGTGCATCTTTTTTATTTGTTGTTGTTTTGATTCATTTGATTTCAACCTAAGTTTTATACGATTATCCAGGCATTTGCTTTAGTGAAGTTTCTTTTGGTTTTCTTGGTTCATAAGATGAAAATGTATATGCTTTGTAAGATTTAGGTGAAACATTATCTGATATATTGGGTTGAACTTAATGTGCTATGATGTATTTGTTGTTCACATAACAATGAGAGACAGGTGCATGCTACACATCAGTTACATTTTGACGTTTAACATTAATTTGTCCGTGGAAAATTTATTGAGATTGATTAAAGTGGTTTTTCTCTCTAAAGGTACAGCTGTATTTTCTCATTATTGCCTTTAATTGTGAGATAGTTATTGCTCATGCATTCACCAGTTGACATCCATTTTTTCTTCCTTTCTTGATAAATAAACCTTTGAGAATATTGCTTTGGAGTTTCATTCTTGATATGAGAATATTAAATAATGTAGATGCTGAGTTTTTTCATAATATTTTTGTTTGTTTGTTCTACAGGTTTCATAATATTTTCAACCTCTTTCTACAAATTCGGAGACAATTACAAACATCAACTTTGGGGACTCAATCTCTGCCAGTACTACTAGTACTATGCACCTAGTGTATCACGCGTTCAACCTTCATCAACAAACTCTCAGTTTCCATCTCAAAAATTGTCAACTCCAAACCAGGAAAATGATATATTGGTTGATGGTTTTCTAGCTTCTTGACCTACACAATCGAGGGTTAGTATGTATGGTTAATCTATGCAGCCAAGTTTTAATCCATATAGTCAACCGTCACAACCCGATGCTAATCATTGCGGCCAACACTCATAGCCAAATACTAATCCATATATTCAATGGAGACAAGTCATTTTGCTATAACCCATGAATAAATCCGTTCAGGTTAGACTCGGCCCAATTTTTTGTAGCCCAAATCAAGAACCCCTCTTGTCAGTTTGTTTATTTTGTCTATAGACCCGATTGTTTGATTGGCCTGGACCTAATCGCCAAGCCCATTTGACTCAATTGAATTGAGTTTTGACTCAAAAACTAGTCTCCGCCCATTTTGTTTGAGCCTAAATACAAGTCTACTTAGTGTGACATATTAGATTTGGATTTGATGGGCGATGGCCAAGCCCAAGGATCTGACCCAATCGTATAAACTATTTTGCTTGAGCATAGGTTGTATGAGTTCAGAAGTATGTGGAGCCTAGGATTGATCTAGTACTAACCCATATGTCGAGTAGACATTTTTAACTCAATTTTACTAATAAATTTTGACTAAGGTTGACCTTATTCAATTTTGACTCATAACATGATTTGTTGATTGAACCAACTTATTAATTATTCTCTATGAGCTCAGAAGTAAGTCATGGTCAAATAGGATTGACCCATTATTTAGAAATTTTTAACTTTACCAATTGATTTAGACTAAGGTTTGCCTTATCCAATTTTGACTCATGACCCTATTTATTGATTGAATAAACTTATTAATTATTTTGTATAATCTCAAATGTATGTTGAGCCCAAATAGGATTGACCTAGTATTAACCCATATCTCGAATAGACCTTTTTAAATTTATTTTACTGGTCCGCTCTGACTACGATTGACTTTATCCAATTTTAATTTATGACTTGATCTACTGACTGATTACTAATTATATAAAGATTTATAGCATTTGTTGCAATAGATTAGGAACTTGGCATGTTTGCATGATTAGATTTATAAAATGTATATTTTCTTGTAACTTGTCACGTTAACATGATGAGTTCTATAAATGAATTTCATATAATATAATTTTTTTATTAAAATTCATCATGTTAACGTGACAAGTTTCTAATCTACTACAATAAATGTTTTAGATTCTTAAATAATTTTTTAACTGTCGTATATTCTAAAAATTAACGTCCGGATTATTCTAATAAATTTGGCAAAGATTTGATGTATAGATTCCATAAATTTTCTTTGCTTGTATTCCAATGATAACTTTATTAAAAAATGTGTTTTGTTTATAATATTGAGGAATTTTAATTATAGTTTCACAAATGTAATTTTTGTATTGTTAACGTCACTTACTCATTGATTTTTAAAATAAATTTATTTATATATTTTTTAAGTTAATTTTTTTAGTTTAAAACGAAAAATATGGTTTTATATGATTAGTTTCTAATTAATAAATTGTGTTATTGGAGTTTAATTATATTTTATAATTATATATTAATTAGTTAGAGTTTATTTTGAATACATCTATGAGTGGTCCTTTAATTTAAATGCTAGTGGTGCCATATGCCGTGGAGTCTAATGACGTGGACGCTTATCCTTATTTTATTGAGTAATTGTTTTACTTGTCAAAAATTTGTATATAAATTATCTTGCATGATTGATAGGCATTTCTTATGGGCATTGCATACTTAATTCATTCATGTGGTATGCATTATGGATAGCTTGATAAACATGTCCTATACATATTATTTCTTTATTCATATATCATATTGCATTATACATAGGACATATTGTGCAGGATGATGTCACTATTTTTGTAGTATGTATCGTACTATTGTTTGTTATCGTAATACGATTATATATTTATGCTTATTATCAGGGATAGACTAAAGGGTGTGGGTGGGGGAAGTCGTCGTTTGAAAATTTAAAATTGTCATACTATTGTTTTTTTATTGTAATACGATCACGTATAACCGCTTGTTGGATAATAAAATGTTATTTAGTTTTAGGAAATTCTACTTGTAGAGATTAGCGGATGTATGCGTAGATATGGCTTATTAGTCTATCATGCACTTCTTATCATGTTATCTTCCCATTTTAAATTGGCCTTGTTTCTTAATGTGAGACTCAATATATTTCGGAGCATCTCGTATTTAGTTTATTTCTACTTTTAAGTAGTGTATTATGTTTTCAGTTTGTAGTTTTGTAATTATTTTATCATACTATTTTAATGCGTCACTTTTGGAAAATAACTATTTTAAACTTTGTAACATCCTGAATTTGGTCGTAATGTCTAGGTTTGATTTAAGGTGTTACAAATTGTTTACGAAATTGTATTCTCATGTTTGGTTTGCCATTGTTTATTATGTATGTGTTTGATTCAATTATTATTTTTATTATATTTATTTTTTAGATAAAATTCATAAAAATATTATATTATATCTTTTTTGTTTTTCATTAATTCTATTAAATAATTTGTGATGATTTTTGCTAGTAATACTCATTCATTTTCCATGAATAAATTATGAAAAAAATGTAGAAATAAATACATACTTACATCGATGAGTGTATGTAAATCTCTTAATATCATAATATTTAAAAATAAACACATACTTACATTAGTGTATATTTGCTTTTTTAAGAAATAAAAATGATAAATGGTAGAAAAATATATTAAATCATTTGTATAAAAATTTATAAAAAGCATAAATTTGAATAAGTATAAAAAATGTTTTTTATGAGTTTTCATGTAAATATTTTTATTTTAATATGTAAAATTTAATTTGTTTAAACTAATATATATATTTTTCATCTCATATTCCTCCCACTAAACATTATGATTTTTTTTTAAATAAGATAGTGTTTCGTCTATGATAAAAAAAAATCACATTTGATCTAACCCACCACTTGGTCTCGTCTCTATGACAAAATAACAATAAAGCCAATTTAGGAATGTAACTTGAACATCACTCAATCCCTTCTTTAACAAGAGCATCGGGTTCAACATTAATGACTTCCAAATTATGTTGGAAAATCAGTCGACCACTAGATATAGACTCATAAATAATATGAGCTTCATTAGATTAATTTGGCGGGGCCCTGGTGGAATTTGAAACCCAACTAACAACAATCTTGGAATCACTTTCTAAAGGAGACGAAAAAAAATTGCATCCTTCTGCGGATGATATTGGAACTTGTGGCATATCGCCTCTTAAAATAGATAAGATAAGCGAAGATCATTATCCAATCAATGCTAAAGGTATCTAATGGAAAATTTCTCTCAATAAAAGAAAAAAGACATTAACTTGGTGACTTATTTATTGTTAATTTCACATATTTATGGTACTGTAAAGTTATTTAATAGAATTCTTTTTTAAATTTATAGCATTTTCAGAGAACGAAGAATAATTATAGTTGTCCCGTTGAACATGTCAAACAAGGAAGCAAGTCAAGCTGCACTTGCAAATTAATGCCAAAATCTGACCAGAAAGAAATTATAATGATTGCAAGAAGTTGGCAGCTTATTATACCGGTCCGCATAGTATATTAAAGGGTAGTCAAATCTTCCAGGATTACGCATTTCCATTGAAATTCTCTTGGATTTATATACCTTCATATTAGGACGTTTTTCTCGAAAAATCACCGGTGATCGATATATTTATCGATCTAACACTAGTCATATTATATTTTTCGATCTAACACCCGTACCAGTAAAGCGCGCCCTTTATCCCGCATTATATGTTGATTTGGCGCTGTCGCAACCGTATTTTGGTTGAGCCCCGGGATTAGGCTTCAACTTGAAAAATGTGGATTGGAGTCGCCACAGATCATTTATTTAAAAATAAATGGGTTGATCGGATACCCTATTCCTTACCTGATCTGCGTCTTACCAGAAATATGTCGGGCTCGGGAGTCGGTTACGGTCAAGGAATGATTAGCACCCTTGAACTGCCCTTTCGGTACTACGTAATTTCCCGTTGTCTTAATTAAGAAAATTGTAATTTTAAATTAAAATGTAAAATTTGATAATGAATTACTTACCTCTGATTAATTAACGAAAATACCCTTAAAAAGTCATAAGATGTGTCAGAGGAAAAAAATGAATAAATGAAAAAATGAAGAATAAAAATAAGTAAAAAAATAAAAGGAAAAATAAATAAATAAATAAATGAAATATTATATATATATATGAGTAAAATAGAAAAATAATAATCATAACAATAATAATAGTAATATGAAAATATAATATAATATAATATAAAAAAAATAAAAACAAAAATAAATAAATATATAAACCAAATATAAAAGTATACATATAATGATAATTGACTTATAAATAAACTATTTAAAATATACATATATATGTATAATGATAAAGTAAAAAAAATTAAATAAAGATAATTACAATATATATACATATATATAGTAATAATACGCTTATAAGTAAAATATTTAAAATATATATATATATATATATAAATAATAAATATAGTATTAAAAAATAACTAAATGAATATAAATAAATAAAAAATATATGTATAGATAATAATAATATATAGTGTAAAAAAAATCAATTGAAAACCATTTAAAAGAACATACGTATATATATTTATATAATAAAAATAATGTAAATAATAAATAAATAAAAATATCTATACAATAAATAAAAGGACTAATATAAAGAAAAATAAAGATTGGGGCCAAATTTGAAAGACAATTAACGTTGATATTACGCATTAGGGGATAAAAAATGAACACGTCTCGGGGTAGATCTAGGTTCGAAACTTCGAAACCCCACCCATTTTTTGTCATCGGCGCAACCCACGTTTTGGGTTACTCGAACCAAATCTAAAAAAAATAACGTGCACATGCGAGAAGTGAACGAATCAACAAAAAATGCTACCTTTTATTTCCTTTTCGAATCGTTTACAATAGCTTTGCCTTTGTATTTTCCGTGTTTTCCTTTGTATTTTGTCTGTAAATTCTCCCTTACAATAGTGAGTTACAATGGCTATTTATAGTGCTTGTGGATCATATCTTTAAGAGTTTAAATCATAGTAGAACTCTATCATATTTTTTAGGAGTTTGAATCCTAGCAAAATTTTATCCTATTTTTAGGAGTTTGAATCCTAGTATGACGAAAAGGTGTGTTGACAGGTGCCACGTGGGGTATAGCGCGCCTCCTGCCTCGCGCTATACACTGACATGGGTTACACGTGGGTATAGCGTGGCCCCTGATCCGCGCTATACGCCACGTAGGGGTATAGCGCGGATCAAGGCCCGCGCTATACCTGGTTATCTGACACGTGGGGTATAGCG